AGAATCAATTCCCTTGAAAATCTCCTCCTCTATAAATATAATTATCGTCGGTGTCCCATCATTTTAGCTTTGATATGTTTTTGGCGTCATCTACAAGCTTCTTAAGTCCATTTGGCAAATATAGGTAATTGCCCCCAAAATTCAATTGTAATTTCCCACCCACCCTTTTTAGGAGTGAAATTGAAATGATTGCTAGTCTAACACTAATACTAATGTTTTTAATAAAAGTCTTTGGGCCTGTTTTGACTTTTGAGGTTAATTAACATTGAGTTTGGTGTCATATATATGTACTGTGTTTTAGGACTCCATTAATTAAGCATACAAAAGAGAGTTTTCCTTTGATTTATTAATTTCATTCATAATCATTATTAGTCTCACAAGGGCTTGCTTTGTGGCCTATTGAATAGGTAGGGTTTCTACTTTCTTATTTTTTTACCAATGAATTGAAACTTTAACCAAATAAAAGATAGTACTCCGTATAAAATTATAAATGATTTATATATGTTTTTACGTAAAAGAGGAGAAAATCCAAAATAAGGAAAATTACGTAACTAAACGTGGCAAGACCAACCCTATAAGATCCTCCTAAGAAGATTGTTTATTTCGATTAAAGGATCATTGATATTAACCCCTCTTCAATGATTTTGAAACTTTCAAAATAAAAATGCAATAATAGAGTACTTGATATGTAACATATAGTCGTTCAACTTTGTAATTATTGTCCAACTTTAACCATCAATATTTTTATGCGACAAATATTTCAACTCGATCCAACCCTCTCCACCCTTTATAAAAAAAATTAATTAGCTTGATAACTCAAAATCCAACCTAAAATATTGTTATATTACACTCAAAAATATCTTTTAAATAACATATTTTTAATATATTAATTGAAATTTAAAGTCGTACTCAATATATAAATTTACGAAGTATATATAAAATTCAACTTATTACATGTATTTTATTTATAAATAAAAGATGTACATCATAGGCTCTAGCAATTTGCTCAAAGAAGCTCAGCTTACACAAGATTATATACACATTTTTAAAAAAAACAATACATAAATTACGTCGTACAAATGACACTTAGAAAAAGAGTTGACAAAAGGTGGGGTCTTCAATATGTAGCAGTGGGATATGGCCGCATTTGGCAGTTTATGGAGTAATTAAATATAATTTAAATTAAGTCACCATCATTAAATTTAACATGATATCAAATCTATCCTTCACTAATCACAAAGACAACAACGCCCAAATTTCTTACCGCAATTTTTTTTCGTTAATGGGTCCCACTTACCTCTAATTTGTCGGCTTATGTCGCCCTAATCGCACAATCATTCATTCCCTTGAAAGTTGGCTACCTGCTAATTACTGTAATTAAGGAGTTAACAGTTTTTATTGACATTATCTTCGTAATAATAATAAAAAAAATAAAATTGTTTCGGAGTATTATTAAGTCTAGAAATAAAAATTAAACATGTAATCAATTGGCCTATGGGTCACCCTTTCAAGTCCAAGGAATGATGATATTGATCGATGCATCTCAATTTTATTTTTCCTTTTCTTTTGATAGAGCATTTTTTTTAATGAAGTATATGTTTTGCTGATTTTTTATTGGACTAATGGTCTAATTTAAGAATTCCTAAAAAAAAAAAAACAAAAAAAAGGGGGGGGGGGTCTAATTTAAGAGTTTTTTTTTTTTTTTTTTTTTTTTTTAAATTTTTTTTTTAATTAAATAAATAATAATTTAAAGGGTGCAAAATTTTATATGTGGCATGTGGTCAAAGTTTCTTATTTAAAGGTTACTCGATCAGTCAGGGATTATACGGTCAATGGTTACTAAATCAGGGGTCACTTAGGCAGTTAGGGGTTACTCGGTCAAGGATTCAAGGTTAAATGATCAGTTAGGGTTATCTATTTAGTGTTTTGAACTTTTGTTGTGTACTGTGCAGCCAGCCACATGAACACCCGATTTGAAGGGCTAAATCTTTGTTTTGTTCATTTATGATATTCTTTAAAAATCACTTTATCTGAACTTAATTTATTATGTTCAAATTTATTTTCTATGAGTTTTTAAAATTTATATGAACTTTTTTTTTTTTTATTTGGGAATTTACAAATCTATTTAATACTACGTATGAAATAAGACAAGATAGCTTTTTTTTTTTTTTTTTTGGTTACTACAAGGCAACCTAACCCTAATTTCAACTCACAACCTCTATTAAAATTAAAGGTAATGTTATATGTAGTTCTAAGGGTTATACATAAGCATTAAATATACTCTTGGAAACTGTATAAAATTAGGAATTCATGACCAAAACACACGTAAATCAATGTTATTAGTGTTTATATTTTGATGATTTCTTAACTTTTTACGATTTTCAAGTGTAAATTTAATGCTTATATGTAGCCCTAAGGGCTATGTATAACATTTTCCTATTAAAATAGCTAAAATAAGATAAAGAGAACAAGTATTGAACCGGGAGCTTTTTACCAATGATCTACTTAATGATTCTTTCTCCACTAATGATACCTTAATATGCAACATTGAAAGTACAAGTTTAAACTAAGTTTTGGTGGAATTGTAGATTATTTCATAATCTCTATTAGATGAAATTGGTCAAAAGTAAAAACTTAAAGAATTATTGTTTATTGTAATGTTTCAACTTTAAAGATTTGCCGAGATCAAATGAGCTACAAATGTTGGAAAATAAGGTATGAAAGTTGAAACATTCGTTTCTAAGCAAGCAATTTATAAATCGTGCTATTAAAGGTTGTTCAAGAGCGCGTTGTTGATGCGATGTTTCTGATTGGATTGAATGAAGAAATTGTTTTGAAATAATTTTCAGAGGTTATATATGTTCCTTCTTCACTTATACTCCAGCTAAAGAAAGTCTACCTTTATATTATTGTTTTTGTTTCTATATTATTTATTTATTAACAGTCCTAACGATATTTCATTGAATTCTTTCTTTAAAAATATTAGCATTGCATGGTGTACGTCTAATTTTCTAAGCATACAATTAATGTATTAAGAGATACTATAATTTTAATTTACTCAAAATATTATTATATTGATCAATGATATTACTCCAATCCATATACTGATTTTCTATTTGCATAGGCTTACACTTTGTATTATTGTTTATTTCTTTCTATCTAATTCGTGAAGAACATATATGTGAAATAGATATAAATAATTAGACACTGTATATGGAATTCCTTATAATCTATCATGAAGTCTAATTAATAAATTTTAAATATTGATAGCAGTCAAAGAGACATTTCATCAACATTACTCGATTTTTTTTTATCTATCTACAAATTATATGATAAATAATATCTCTACCTAAGTATTCGAAAGTCATTAGAATCAACTACAAATACCACAAACATATACTTCGTACTACGGGCCTGCTGTTCACATTTATTGAACTGAGCAGAACTGAACTGAACTGATTGGAGCTGAACTGAACTGAACTAAACTGATTGGAGTTGAAATGAGCTGAAATGAATATTTTATTAGAGAAGAAAATTAGGAGCTGAACTGATTTGAACTAATCTAATTGGAGCTGAACTGAACTGAAATTAAGTTGAAGTGAACAAGCTCCACGTTTGAAATATGAAGCAAACCTTGTAAATTATTGACAAAGAAGTACATAATTATCCTGATTTGTTAGCGCATTTCATTAATTAAAAGTGTGCCTTAGCTCCTACTATTTTCCTTGAAAAGAAAGAGCTCTAATCAAGCTCCCAAGTCTAATTAACAATCAAAGCATCTACCTTAGAAAGGTAGTTGCAGATTGGTCCGACAAATATTTCAACTCCAACCCTTTCTAGTCTCCATCCTTTTTTTATAAAAACATTAGCTTGATTGACTCAAAATCCAACCAAAATTTATTTATTTTTTAAAATTTTTTTTTTTAAAAAAAATCCCAATAAAATTGACTGAAAGTGGAGGGAATTATTAATGAGCACGCCTGCCCAGAGGGAATGTTTGGGTGGACCCTCATTAGACCAAAAAAAGTAGGGTTTGTCAGATTTAAAATAATTTTTTAATTTGAAAAATAATTAATTTTTTATATTAAAATTTATTTACCTTTATCTAAGAGTAATCATAGTTGTAATAACAGTGATTATTTTAAGTAAAACAAAGAAGGGTGGCTAACTTAGAAACATGCAATAATGATGAACATTCATGGATATTGATGGGCCAAAATTTTAAAATTATGGGGTCCTCTTCTACATGAATTATAATGTGATTAGGTGAGCTTTTGTTGAGGCAGGTAAACTTTTTTTTATTATTTTTTTATCATTAAGTTTATATCATGTAGTGTTTGGATTTAAATTAATGTTTTAATATCCTATTTAGTTGAGCAAGTTGTATGATCTTTAATTTAGTAACATACAGTAAGTAAGACATAGATTTCATTTGAGATTAATGGGCAACAATAAGCTCCAATATCATTGTCACACCATTTAATTAATTAATATAATATCATACTATAATATATAGTAGCTTAATTATCCTAAATAAAACTAGTAGTCTATACTATAGAGTAGTCGAATTATATGATATGATATGCTTCAATTTCCTATTGGCTTCATGGAAGTGGTTTTCAAGGCTGGAAGATTCTCTCATTCACCTTCTTCCCCAAAATGGATAAAGATGTCAGATTTCACACCCTTCAACATTCAGGAATAATTAAGAGATTGAGAAAGAATAATATAATGCCCACATTGGTAATCACAAGTATTTAACCAAAACTATACTTAATTAGTACACCAACACCTGGCCTAGCTAGCTAGATGCGGGATGGTGTTGTATTGTATGTATTGATTGACTTATTTTAAAGTTACCCTAAAGAAAGTAACAAGTTATCTCTTGAAATAGAAAAGATCGCCGTCTCTTGTATGATTTTGCCGGATAAGTAGTATGTGCTAATATATCATGAATGTATGTGGTTATATGTGAGTAATAGGTGAATTGAATAGGATCATTTAAGCAAAGAAATGAAATTGACAAAGTGTTATTACAATATACTACATACTTGCAATTTCTATGGTAAATAATAAATCATCATCAAGCACTTAATTAATAAAAAAAGGATACAAAAGTTCGATTAAAAGGATTAACTTAATGTTATAGATAGAAGAAGGTATGAATATAAACCATGAAAGCTAGAATTTATACAGTTATACATTCACCTCTTCTTCTATCTCTAACCTACTAAGAACCCTTGATGTAAAAACCAAAAAAAAAAAAAAAAAATTTGCCCAAAACCCTAAGTTAAAAAAAAAAAAAGAAAAGAAAACTCCCAAGACTAGCTATTACATGAATATTATCATCAAATACAACAATTAAGATGTACCCCTATTATATATATATGTTAGTTTTTTTTTAAAAAAAAACCAAATTAAACAAGTGAGCAACCATATAGTAAAATAAAAAGATAAAAAAAAAATATGATTCTTTGATCTTCTAATTACTTTATAATTACCATGTTCCACCACCTAACATGCCACTCCAATAACCATGATGATTATTATTGTTGTTATTATGATGATGTTGATGATGATTATTTCCTCCTTTGTTGTTTTGATCTTCAATTTCTTGTTGATGATGATGATGAGTTGTTGTTGTTGTTGGTGTTGAGCTAGCAAGCTTGTTCATATCAGCAAATGGAAACAAAAGTCTAGCAGAATTAGCACCACCATTATTATTATTTGATCCAACATTATTATTGTCACCTGATCCAACCATGTTATGATCATTTGGCGGCGAAAACACATCCATGTTTGGCTTGAATTCTTGCAAGTTTGGGAACCCTGAGGGGTATAGAGTGTTGGAATCCGGCATTGGCATCGGCATCGGAATCGGAACATATGGGTTTAGGCTTCCCCTAGATGCAATCCCTGTCCTTAGAAGCTCAAGGGCTGAAATTGGGGTTGTAGAGGTGGTTGTACTACATGTGTTAGTTGTAGTACTAGAAGAAAGATTATTGTTGTTTGTGTTATTAGCATTGTTGTTATTAGTGTTCATGATATTAATTGGCTCATGATTTTCATTATTGTTGTTATTACTAGGGTGGAAAATACCTTGCATAGGAAAAGCAAGGTTAAGATCATGACCTTCAAGGAATTTAGGGTTTTGGTGTGAGGCAGTGATTAGGTGTGACAAAGAACTTGGTGGGTTTAAATCAGGGATGAGTTTAGTGGGGTGGTTGATTGATGGGTTTGAGGTCGACGACAACAAGGACGACGATGATCTCTTGTTCTTCCTAGAGCCACCACCGACGGGGACGTTTCGTAGAGAGCCACCTTGAGTCCAATACCTTCTACAAGTCTTGCAAAAGTACCTTGGTTGAGTAAGGCTGTAGTTGTTGTAGTAGCAAAATTTGGTGTTGGTAGAATTACACCTAGGACAATTGATGTTTTGATCTTTTTGAGGCCTTGCTTTTCTTTGATCTCCAACAACTTGTGTTGCCCTTGAATTATTGTTTGTAGGATTATTGTTATTGTTTGGTATTGCTATTTCTTCCATTGCCCTTGAAAAACCAGCTACTTGCTGATGCTACATACCCCCACAATAACCAAGAAGAGATAAAATAAAATTAAAAGTTGTGAGTAAAAAGATAAAGTGATTTTCATCTCAACACTTTTATAAGAAAATTGATGAGAACAAATTAAATTAAACAATCTAATGAAGCTATAACATGTAGATGGATCAGGAAGTGTGTGTTTGTGTATGTGTGCGCGTGTTACATAGAGTAGTGATTGCAACAAACAAAGTTTATGTTATGTCTTTTTGAATTTGAGATTGAATTGATGTAAAAGTAGATCACTAAAGAAAGAAGAAAACACACAATAATTACTAATATTACCTTTTCTCTAAACACTACTACTACAACATAAACTTTATGTATTTGTTTTTCATATCACATAACTAAAAAGGGTTAAGAGAAAAGGAAAAGTGAAAAGCTTTTACATGTTTCAAGAACAAACAAGAAAGTTGAACAAACAATAAAGAAAAAAAGGGAAGAAAAAGAGAGGGGAAAAGGGAAGAAAGACATGGAAATGACTCCATTAAACATCTTTCAGAGAAAAGTTTCATGCACATAAAACCAAATTTCGCCAAAAAGGGTTTTTCTTTGTGAAAAAAGCCACTTTAATTTTGTAGATCTTTAGTTTAAAACCTAAAGAAAAACCAAACTATTTATCAGAAGATAAACATGGATTATTAAGTTTAAGTAAAAGGTAATAATAATAATAATAATAATAATAATAATAATAATAATAATAATAATAATAATAATAATAATAATAATAATAATAATAATAATAATAATAATAATAATAATAATAATAATAATAATAATAATAATAATAATAATAATAATAATAGTTGAGCATGATAGATATATAGACATACCTGTGGCCATTGAGCAGCATCCATGAATCCAAAGGAAAAAAGGTGAAGAAAAAGGCAAGAAAAATAGATGAGATGAGATGATGTCTTTTGAGATGAAAAGAGGGGAAGAGAAAGGCTAAGAGAGAAAAATAAAAATCAGCTCCTTTTAATTTTGTCTGCAAATGGACTTAATTTTGCAAGAAAGAATGTTTGTGATTGTTTGTGTGATGGCTTTATGTGTAGGCCTCTCACTTTATGATGTAAGATAGATGGCCTATGACCTTGTTGGGGTTTGTTTTGACGTATGTTCCTACCTAGTCTCTTTTACTCTATCATACATTTTAAACTACTTTTATTTACTCTAGCTTCATTTTCTCGCTGTAGTGGATGTTAACTAGTTCGGTTGGTTAAAATGTTGAATGATGGTATATAAGACTTGAAATCATATTCTATATACGTCATCTATTTTTCTTTGTATCTCTCTTTAGTCTTTACACAATTTATTTTTTTTACAAAAAAAAAAAAAACTTCTGCATGAATGTACACCAATTATATAACACGAGATTAATTGAATTTAATCATCTCAAATTACGTGAAAGTTAACTTTGTAGTGCATGTAAATGGTAAAAATAATATGATTATAGGGTACTAAGTGTAGTTTATACAATAGAACCTTGTTATACATCATATATTATGTATTCCATGATAAGTTATCCTTTTTTTTTTTTAATTATTTCTTCCTCAATTGGCTTTGAATATAAGTATTAAGAAAGTTCAATTATATGTTAATTTTTCAATAGTGTGAATATGTTAATTAACTGGACTTATTGAGTCTTAAAATTGATTAAATTAATCGATCATAGTAATGATGAAATGTAATTTTCAGATTATTTTAAACATGTTATTTGAAGATGGTAGTGGAGCGCCTTCAAACAAATTGTGTATAATACTCTTTGATTGTGGAAATATGATGTGTGCCTCCTGTGGTGGGTTTTCTGCTTTTTGACCAGAAGATAGGGAAAGTTTTTATTCTTTGTTCTCTTCTCACCTTTCTATCATTTTTTATATGTAAATTACCATTTTTCTATTGCTAGGTTAATTAGGGCTTAATTATTTTCTTTCATACTAATTATGTTACATGCATAAATGATTATTCTAAGCTTTACCTTTCAGGGTCATTAATAATGTTTGCTTGCTATATATTTGCAGTGTATACAAATTTAAAAAAAAAAAAAAGCTTAACACACATTTGATAGAATTTCTCCAATTTCAAAATATTTCCTTTGTGTTATATTTATGTTAATGGAATTTAGTTGTATTGTTGGTCGCACTTTTATAATAAAATTACTCATATCTTCTATAAATCCCGAAGAAAATAAAGTTCATTTTAAAATTTATAAATGATGACAGTAATTATTATTTAGAAATAAATCGATAACTCGAGAACACACCAGAGATAACATAGACTTGAAAAGAGCATATTAACGTATACCGTGTTTTGACATCAAATAGTGATTTACCCTAAATACAAATGAGTACAAATAGTAAAATGTCACCAAAAGGGCATAAATTATAGTCATGTTGATCAACGTTACTGTCTCTTCACATCAAATAAGCATAAAAAAAAGGTTAACACAAATTCTTTTTTTCCTCTCTCTTTCATGCTTTAAGATAAGAAAAAGTATGTTCCCTGGAATTATAAAGAGTCTTAAGAAACCGACCTTTTCTTATGCTCCGTTGGCCTTTGATTCGGAGAATTTCTCCAGCTCAGTCTTATTAATTTGTTGATTAATTATTAATTAGTTACCCCTTTTTATTACAAAGTGGATATCAGATCATGTTTAGTACAAATTCTTAAATGAACCTGGTTCACACTAATTTATTGTGGACCACTAATATTAGAGAAAATATGGTTGTTTTATTAACAAAAAAGGGTCACTATAATTTAAAAAAAGTCACTATGTTGAAATAAAAATCATTTTGGTAATATATAGGCCTTAGTGGTTATTTTTGTAATGAAATATTTTATATACTGATCAATATGAATAATAAAGGCTACTATGCTAAAATTAGGGTAATAGCGTCGTATTTCAAGTTCACAATATTATTAAACGTTGTAGTAGTTTTAATAAAGGTACCTATGTTAAAAATAAGGTTACTATGTTAAAAATAATGGTCACTATGTTCAATATAATGTCAGTTGCGTGTGTATAGACCTTTGGTCCACAATAATATTATTGTGGACCAGGTCCACACAAGTCTTTTTGCATGTTTAGACCTACTTTCATACATTATTCTTTTTATATTGTGCTGTAATGTATAGTATATGGTTTTTAATTGGGATTTTGTTAGTTGTCTTAATCTGTTATTAGAGTAGGATTAACTTTCGTCCAGTAATTTACTGTATTTTTTTTTTTGATATTATATTGGAAAACAGATGTCAAGCAGAGATGGATAAATAATTTTTATAATTATGTAACATTAATATAAAACCACAATATACAAAGTATTATTCTAGATGTCTCACTGAGTCACTACATGTTTGTATCAATCATCAGTATTTATCATTCTGTTATTATTATTGTAAAGAAGGTTCGGTTGGATAGAAGAGTTCACAAGAAATTACGTATACTCAGTAGTTTTCAAGAAATTTATGTTACGTGGTAAGGTTTACAACTAAAATGTGTATCAGAAACACGTCAATATAACAACTAAAAGTAAAAGGCTAATATTTCGTTTTACTAAGAATTGGATCATCCCGTTTCTAAGCATCCGACTCTGGCTAATATAGGCATAACATATTATCTTCACCAAGGGTTGTACAAACTACAAAGTACGTACGTACAGTACAGTACGCCCTCTGTTTGTTTTATGAAATAGTGAGCATCCTATGACAAATCGACCAATGCTTATTACTTGAAATAGGCAAAATTAAATACTCATGTCTCAATCTTACTACAGCTTAAATTGATGACTATTTAAACAGACAGATTTTGCGTAATTAAATTAGTGGACAAAAAGGTCTTCATACAGATCATCATAATTAAAATCATGGACTAATACTAGGCAGTGATAATATATTTGGCCGTGTCAGATTAACATATTTGGAAAGAATGCTTATATAATCAATTGACATTAATCAAAAACACAAAAACCAAAAGACAGCTTAATTAAATTAGGTATGCAATTTCATATTCACTCGTGGCCGTATTTATTAGTTACCCTAAGTTAGCTAAATATGCTTACTTGAGTTCATCAGTAAGATTCTATAAATGGTGAATTATTTGTCAATTGTCATGTGTGAGGATCTTCACATACATCGAGGAGTTTTAGTGAATATCACACATAATTTTTTTTTTTTTTTTTTTTTTGGTAATTTCATTCTTTTAACTAGAGTAAGAGTCTGTTTTACTGAACCGAACTAAATATTTTATGAAAGAAGGAAATTAAGAACGGAACGGTTTAAATTGAAATAAACTGAACTGAAAATAAGCTGAAGAGAATAGACCCAATACTAGTATATTGTTTTTCAACCAGGTGGATTTATAATTGGAAGAGGAAACAAGAAAAAGGAAGGTATAGTTTTGCAATTTTATAAAAATGAAATTGAAAGATCAAATTAGGAACATGGATTAAGGGGGAATTATAATGAAATTGTTGTTAATCTAGGCTAATTAATTTGTGGATCATGTAAGTAAGTTGAAATAGTAGGGCTTGTAGCAGTATCCAAAATATGAGTCTGGTCTCTATTTGCACCCTTTATTAATCGAGGATCAATTTTAAAACCTTGTTTAATTCATCTTATTTCTACTTACAAATAGATCAGATCTGAATTTTTTAAGGTCTAATATGAATTTTTCTGATCTGGTCTGGTTTGATCTGATTTAACAATTTGACTAAACTTTGACCGTATTTTGATACTTATCTATAAAGAAAAATATCATCAAAATGAATCTTGTTAGATTCGTCTCATTATGAACTTTTTAAATATGTAATTTTTATAAAAAAAAGTTAATATGCAATTTACGATATTTAGCAATAAGTAAATGGTAATCAAAAGTTCTGATCTGGTCTGATCTGAATCTTTCTGATCTGATTTGAATTTATTAAGGAATACTCCCTCCGTTTTTTTTATATGCATCACTTTCTATTTAAGGGTGTTTTTTATATATGCATCACTTTTATATTTGGTAACTTTATACTATATTTTATTATCTCTCTCTCTTCTCAAATACCCCACTCAAAATATTTTATCATTTCACTCTCTTTCATGGTCCCCACTTATATTATTAAATAAATTATTCTCTCACACATACTATATATTTCATGACCCACATTGCACTTTTATCAAAATAAATTAATCATCCACTTGCCCCACTTGCACAATATAATATTGAAGCAAATAACTGTCCTAAAACTCCGTGTAAATGCAAGTGATGCATATAAAAAAAAAAAAAACGGAGGGAGTAAGTAATAAGTATCTGAAATAAGTTGAAGAGAACAAGTCCTTAATGTACGATATGAGCTTATAAGATAAAAGGTGAAATAAGTACAAACAAACTTAATAACTTTGTGTTTAGAGAGCTACAAGGGCAGAGATGAGATTTAGTGGTAGGATCCCATGATATTGAAAGGAATGCTTACCACTCATACTATTTCACTCTCAACATGCAACTAACAATGAGACAAGTCAGACAACATTAACCGCTCGTAAAAATTTCTGCTAAATAAACCCATACTTTAGGAAATGGGATGCAAGCCAAATGTTAATGTATTATTCACAGTAATAGTAGTACTCGTAATAATAATAATAAGGATAATTTACTAATTACTACCGCAAGTTAATACCACTTCGTAAATTACTACCGCAAATTAAAAAAGTTGTGAATTACTATCGTAAAATTTTTTAGGGTTTGTTTAACTTAAACTCCCTTTTTTCTTTCTATTCGACAACAGAAAGTATTCTGTAATTTCATATTATCTCGCGTTCTATATTAGTATTAGATTAATTATTAATATTCTAATTAGTATTAGATTAATTAGTAATATTCGATTCATTTTTAATGAATAAATTAGTCTATATAAATATTTAATAATTTTGGATTTTCTAGCGAATGAATGATTCATAAATGAAATTGAAATGACAAAAAAATTCTATGGAATTGTGTAAGACGGAAAGATCTTTTGAATCTGATTATTCGATTATATTGACAATTTCAAAAAACTGCTCATATTATGTTCATAGTATGATGGAAGTTTAGCCCGTATGCCCC